ACATGACGGGAGGTTTTTCGCTATTGGGATCATTCTGTTTATTCATTGTTTTGCCGATTGGCGAGGGCCCTCGCCCCCCCCTCCTCCCTCCCCCTGGCGTAGATCCTGTCTGTTTTTGGGCGCCTGTTTCGAGCAGGTGGAGGTTCCCCCATAGGACGCACGATTCCAAGCAGTCACATTAAGCAGAGGTCCAGAGCCATACCCCCCCCTCCCCCACCCCTTCCGCCCAATGTCGGAACGCCGAAAAAAACTCTCACATTTCGTCCTCCGGAGGGGGGGGGCCCTACTGGACCCTACTGCGCAGGATGAGAAACGGGTCCCAGGGACGGCGTCCAGACCCTTCGAGCGTCGACGTGACCAAAAAGCGCGACGCGGGGTGTCTGGGAGGACCCCACGCGGGCTCCGAAGGCCGAAGGACCCAACAGTGAAAGAAGCATCTGCTTCCCGCGACCCGCGCGGATTTTTCTCGGCTCGGTGCTGGGCCTCCGTGGCGGCGCCTCCAGCGCCACCCCTGGCGCGCTCGTGCACCTCCCGGGGCCCCCCCTGCGCGCTGTGAACAGCATCGCGACGGGAGGTGCCCCTCTGTCTTCTGCCTCCTCCTTCTCCTCCTCCTCCTCCTCCTCCTCCTCCTCCTCCTCCTCCTCCTCCTCCTCCTCCCCCTCCCCCTCCTCCTCCTCCTCCTCCCCCCTCCTCCTCCTCCTTCTCCTCCTCCTCCTCCTCCTCCTCCTCCTCCTCCTCCTCCTCCTCCTCCTCCTCCTCCCCTCCTCCTCCTCCTCCTCCTCCTCCTCCTCTCCTCCTCCTCCTCCTGCACCTCCTCCTCCTCCTCCTCCTCCTCCTCCTCCTCCTCCTTCTCCTCCTCCTCCTCCTCCCTCCTCCTCCTCCTCCTCCTCCTCCTCCTCCTCCTCCTCCCCTCCCCCTCCTCCCCCTCCCCCTCCCCCTCCCCCTTCTCCTCCCCCTCCTCCTCCTCCCCCTCCATCGCCGCCGCCTCCTCCGTATGCCCTCGCCCTCGCCGGGCCGCGGGACCGTCAATCAACGGCTCGGGATGAGCAAGCGGTTCCGGGGAAGGGGTGCATGCGCCCACGCTGGTTTCGAAAGTCGAAGGCCAACCAATTGCATGAACATGAATTGTCGGCTCTCCGATCTGCGCTGGGCCCCCGGGAGGGGATCGATTCAGGAGAGAAAGAAGGACGCACGCGTGCATCCCAGACCCCTTCGCGTGAACAAAATCACGACGGGAGGTTTTTCGCTGCCTCCGTGTATCCTTCTAAGTCCTCGGGACTGTCAACACAAATATCAGGATGAAGAGGTTGTTTGATCATGGTCGCCGCGAACATGCTGTCAGAGAGCTGACCAGTGCAGGAGCATCATATGCAGACATGGAGCTTGGTAATCCTGCCCCAGCACCGTTCTTGCACGTATGATGAGACGCTTGCACTCATATTATAGAAACGCAGTCGTTCTGCATAAATGCGATGGAGCGATCGGGCGTTGGGTGAAAGTAACTGCTGTTCATGTTGTAAAAAATCGGTCCCAGGGAAGGGGTCCAGATCTCTGTTAAGTCGGGCCTGTCCCTCTACAGGGGGAAAATTCAAAAATAGTCAAACCATAGTCTGGGAGAGTTTTGGAGGTATTTGTTAGGATATGTTTGAGGTATGTTTTTTGTAGTGTATATTTGTCGTTCAAAATCGGCCTATAGGGGGACAGGCCCGACTTAAGACCTCTGGGGGGTCGACTGGAACACAAGCTGAATAAACCTAAACTTTTGGCGCTTCCCGCAGATTTCTCGGATCTGCCTGTGCTGGGCCCCTGGGGAGGGGTCTTGCTGGGCTACTGTTCCACCACCGCTGCCGTAGGTGGGACGGGGGGGGAAGGGAGAATGGGGAGCTCCTCCTCCTCCTCCTCCTTCTCCTCCTCCTCCTCCTCCTCCTCCTCCTCTGAGGGGCGAATGGAAAACAAACTGCAGAAGCAGAAACTTTCGGCGCTCCGCGCGGATGTCTCGGATCTGCCTTCGCTGGCTCCCCCTTTGTGGCGCCTCCGGCGCCGCTGCTGGCCCGCTCCGCGCGCCAGGGAGGAGAGGGTGGATCCAGCCAGCCGTTGCCAGGGAGGAGAAGAGGGGTCAAGCAGCCTCGCCCTTTCCGTGCTCTTCATCCTGAGTTTGATCATGTTCATCATCATCATGTGGTCTCGCGCTTCCCTTTCTTCTATTCAGCCTGTGCTTTGCACTGCACTCCTTACTTCCCGCGGTAACACGCCGGTGCCTGACGCTTCAGGCTCCAGTGCGGCGCCCCCACAGCCTGCGCAAGAAAAGAAAGTGTGTCCAGCCCAGATCCAAGCAAGCCGCGCGGACAGTTTATGTGTACACGCCGGTCGTTGAAAGTAGGTAATTCTGGATTCCTAGAACCCAATCTACTTCAAGTGCCTTCCTACGTCAAGAATCGATATGGTTTGGCAGTTGTTTGTTATTCTTTTGGTGGGCCCGAACCCAATCTACTTTATCCGCCTTCCTACTTCATTTTTCTACCTACTGCTTTCGACCGGCGTGTATGCAGTTTCTTGTTCCTCTAGCTTTGCGCGCACACGTACATCCCAGACCCCTTCCGGTTGCGAAGCAGTGCGTTTTTTCTCCAATTGTGTTCGGCCTCTGGGGGCCCTCATTGGGCTTCGTGACCGTCACACAATTATTCAGGATGAACTACTGGTCCCGGGGAAAGGGGTCCGGGGTCGACGTTGCGAACAAATCACGACGCCGGGGGTCTGGGATGATTCCACATGGGTTTCGAAAGTCGAAGAGCAAGACATTGCGTAAACATAAACTGTCGGCGCTCCGCGCGGATTTCTCAGATCTGCGCTGGGCCCCCCTGGCGGCGCCTCTGCCGCCGTCCCTGGCGCGCTCCGCGCGCCAGGGAGGGGGGTCCCAGCCCAGATCCAAGAAATCCGCGCGCACCGTCGACAAACGTTGAACGCCGCGGGCGACCCAGAATCGTTCGATGTGGAACGATTTGGACGTTTCGAAAACGGCCGATCGTTCAAGGTTGAACGATCTCCGCTGTGTCAGAAACCACCGCCAAAGCTGACACGACACGAACCTGACGTATGTTTACGCAGGTTTTTGTTCCTCTGGCATTGCGCGAACGTTCGGTTTACGACTCAGGATGAGAGGCCAGTCCCGGGGAAGGGGTCCATGGGGGTCGACGTGATGAAAAAGCGTACATGAATCCACGTTGGTTTCTAGAGTACGCATTGCGCGAACGTTCGTATCACGCGGCCGGTCTCGCGGATTGGGGGGCTGTGTTCATGTACACGGTTGGGCGCGTGCTCCGTATTTAGGCTGGTCTCGCGGATTTGGGGGGCCGTGTTCATGTGCGTGGTTGGGCGCGTGCGTCCTTTGTGGGCTCCCTCGTCGGTGCGCCTCGGGCAGCGGGCCAGGGTGGTCCCCCGAGGAGGGGTCTTGATGGGCCAATGTTCCACGACCGCTACCGCAGGTAGGGCGGAAGGGGGCGGTCCTCCTCCGTCTCCTCCTCCTCCACCTACTCCTCCCTCTCCTCCTCCTTCTCCTCCTCCTCCTTCTCCTCCTCCTCCTCCTTTTCCTCCTCCTCCTTTTTCTCCTCCTCCCCCTCCTCCTCCTTCTCCTCCTCCTTCTCCTCCTTCTCCTCCTCCTTCCTCCTCCTCCTGTCGCACCTCCTCCTCCTCCTCCTCCTCCTCCTCCTCCTCCTATTGCTCCTCCTCCTCTCCTCCTCCTCCTCCTCCTCCTCCTCCTCCTCCTCCTCCTCCTCCCCCTCCTCCTCCCTCTCCTGCACCTCCTCCTTCTACTCCTTCCTCGCCTCCTCCTCCTCCTCCCTCTCCTGCACCTCCTCCTTCTACTCCTTCCTCGCCTCCTCCTCCTCCGCCTCCTCCTCCTTCTCGTCCTCCTCGCCTCCGCCTCCGCCTCCTCCTCCCTCTCCTATCTATAGGTAGTGGTGGTGGAAAACCAGCCCCATGAGGTTGGAGGTCCGACTCTGAGCGGAGGTGGTCTGAGCCGTCGCCGCGGCTCGAGGCGTCTCGGGAGACGGGCTGTCCATGGGCCCCCGGGAGGGGTCTCAGGACCGACTCTCCGCCACAAAACGATATGCACAGACACCCTCCAGTGGAGTGTTCTTGGGCTTCACGGGCTGATGCCGGTATAGACATCCAAGACGCTGAAATAAGGAGCAGTTTGGATTCGGAAGGAGCGCGATGTTCCTTACGTCCTTCCGTGGTCGTCCCTCTAGCCCTTCTCGTGCACCCAGGCTTTTTTGAAGCCACAGAGGGGCTTCGTTCCTTATTCAGCGTTCCTTTTTTCAGCAGCCTGACTGTACATCACCACACTGGGAGCCAGCGACCTTGTACACCGCCACCTTCCCTGAAGGTAGATGCCAAGGTCGTCGGAGGGTGCACCCAGGACGATGATTAGAAAAACGGACCCACGGCCTGGAACATACTTGTCGACGGTTGCCGCCCGCCCTCCTTGGTTGCGCGTCTGGACAGTCGACGGGCCATACGGAACCGAAGCGAAGCGGAAGCCTAATATTCGGAAATTATTTGGTTAATCGTTCCATGCACATGTTTTATTACCGTAATCTTACAGTAGGCCTCCCGCGCATGGGGTCCGAGTAAATTGGGTCGGAAGCTCGCGCCGCGTTGCCAATGCATCGACGATGCCGCTCAATGTGGAGCCCGATGTTTCTTGACGCCGACGGCGTCGATGCATCGCTGACGACGCCGACGCATCGCCGATGCATCAGCGATACGGCGCGATCCTCTGACCCCATCTGCTCTGACCTCATCTGGGAGGACTCCAGTTGGACCAGGCGGGGGCGCCGCCAGTGCCTCAACTGGCCCTCCTCCGAGAAACGCATCCCGCGAGGCGGCTGCCGGAGGCAAGTGTCGTACCCGCGGTCGGGGGTGGAGTTGCACGCAAGCTTGTCGCGCGTTACGCCCCTGCCTCGTCGCTTGTCGCCGTCCTCTTCCTCTCCTCCTCCCAGATGACGGACCCGGGCCCCACATGGCGGCGCGGAAGGACCTGGTCCAGGACGGGGGCCGGCGCTGCTGCGTTCCTCCTGTGTTCTGCCAAGGCAGGATCGGCAGCATCGTCACAGTAGTTCCTCATGCAGTGACGAAGCCACTGGGCGTGTCTATAGGCCTACCAAACAATGTTCTGAGAAGCTTTTGTGGTTTCCACGAAATGTTCTTAGAACATGTCTGGCTGGGACTGTCTTGCTTTAACACATCGGGGCTTATGTTCTAAGAGCATCGTTTTTGTGATTAATGCATTTTTGGGTTCTAAGATCATGTCGTGGTAGGCCTATAGGAATGCTGGGACGGTCGGTCCCTGCTCAAGTTTGGCATTTGTTTAGGTTGTGTTGCTTGGGGCACTGGCCATCCGTGTCCTATCTCCTCATGTCCGTCCTGCTCCTTGCCTGCTCGTGCATCCCCGCCTTTGTGCACGGTGATTATGAGGAAAATCCTGGAGCCCTCGCGCGGCGCATAGTCCAGTTGTCAGTTTCGTAAGCTATGTGACATGTGTCGACGCCCGCCGGGCGATTCTCTGGAGTCAGTCCGACGTAAATGCGACGTAAATCCGACGTGACCCGGCGTAAATCCGACGTGGATCCGACACAAATCGGGTCTGAAGTTGCGTGGGAGGCCTCCAGGATTTTCCTGAGAATTGTGAGCTGTTGGCGACGAGGGCGCGCGTGGCCGCTCACCAGAGCGCAGCCGCGGTGATGGGGGGTCAGCGTTGGGGGCCAGAGTGCAAGCAACGCTTGGGTAGACGGGCTGCTTTGAAAACCACTGGCTGCGAGGACGCTGACGACATGGACGGGCCTCGGTTGCACCTGTGCGTCGGCAGTGACGTCCGACAACATTCACGCCTGTGTTTTGCAGCCCGGGGCTGGAGCCTCGCCCCCCGAGGCCGCCCACGCGTTTTTTTTTTTTTTTTTTTTTTTTTTTTTTTGTGATACAGCGTGGGAGGTATACCCCCGACGGAGTGTCAACCTCGTCAGGTGCCGGTGCTTCGCGTCGGGGTGTCCGGAACGCCTCCTGTGACGGGGTCGGTGCGGGCATGTGCGGGGGCGGGGGGGGGCGCTGCCACTCCCCAGCGTCAGTCGCGAAACTCACAGCTTCCATTCTGAGTCTCCGCCGCAATTCTTGGACGACTGATGAGTGAATTATCGCGCTTCCGCGCTCAGAGAGCTGATGTTTGACGACTGGATCGGCACTGTGATTGCGGAGCCTTCTCCTGTCGCCTGTTCACCCCCCGTTGCATATGAGCGTTGAGAACAGCGCGTGCGACCCGTGGACATTGTGTCCGGCGAGCGGAGGCACAACCGCCTTCGACCAATGCGAATGCGATGGGCAGAAGCTCGACGTACGTGGCAGTCATGATTTAGGTGTACCGTTTTCGCCTGGGGTCGTGATCTACAGCGCGGCCGACGCGTCCGCAGTGGGTGTGCAAATTAACAGGGAAACCTTGTGTCTGTTTACCTATTGTCGCATCTCGGTCTTTTTCACGTTGAAGAGTTGAGAATGATTAGCAGCAACTTTCGACTCGTTTCCGAACCAAGACGGGCCGCCGCCGACTCCGTCCTTCAGCCGCATTTGTGTTTCGTCACGGGCCGACGGTGCACGCCCTCAACATAATTAATATAAGGTGTCCTCGTTTTTGCGAACGGTTTCTTGCAATTGTTGGCATTTCCACAATAGCATCGAATCACACACGCCGTGGACGCTTTAGCGAGTGTTTTCGATCATGCGTTCCCTGGGCTGTTGTTTTAAACTGTTCGTTGGGACGTTGCGGGCGGCGCTTCGGTGATCCACAAAACGTGGCCCCGTATTCAACGTCGGACCATCGGCGCAGGAATGACCCGCAGCGCTAGCAATCCGCAGGGGAGTGATCCGGTACACCAGGTCATGCGAGGGCCAGGTCAGAGAGTTCGTCGTTTCTCCAGGCCACGTGTTGGGCAGCATGGGTTGGAAACCGCAGTTGCGTGATTGTTCGGTTCATCCGTATCGTGGTGGCCAACGGTAGGGACACCCGTATACATTTTCATGAGTGAGGACTGTGTAGGACTTGCGGCTTGCTCGTTGAACTCAGTGAGGACCGTGAGGACCGTGTAATCTTGTACCGTTCCCCCCCTCTGGTCGGACTGTTTGCGTGTGGGTGGCTGGTTGGCATGCGGATTGCTTGTTCTGGTGTTTAGTTAGATGTTTGGCTGTTGGTTGGTTGTTGGCTGGATTGTTGCTCGCGTCTGCATTTTTGCGTGAAGACGTATGGTTTTAGAGACGCGCTTCTGCCGCAATGTAGAAAAGGGTTTGTGGCTTCTGGGGCGCGCCCCTTCAGCAGTTCCCAAGGATCCGTTGCCCCGGGTTCAGAGCCCAATATTCAAGAAACGGCGGTAGGGCGAACCACGCCACCAGAACATGTATCTCATCCTTTCACATTGAGCGCCTCAGGTGTCGCCGCTCGCGCGCGTTTCATGCCGCGCCACCACAGCTCGACAAGCCCCCGCTGTCTCGTCAACAGCGCGACTCTTGGGACGCGAATAGTGGTCGTTTTCTTGCTTCATTGTTTTGCCGATCGGCGCGGGCCGTCGCACCCTCCCCCCCCGTTCCCGCCCCCATGGAGTAGACATTGGTTGTTTTTGGTGCCTATTTCACGCATGTGGGGCCTCCCGCAGAGGACGCAGTGTTGCAAATCATCTCATGAAGCTGAAATCCAGAGCCAGACCCCCCCTCACCCATCCCTCCTTTTCTTCGCCCATCATCGAAACGCCGGAGAAAAAAACAACTCACAACATACGTGGGCGAAAGCGTATCCGCATACAAGTTCTCGCGGGCGGATGTGGGGCGTTTTTTCGCGGATGCCATGCGCGGAGCGTGCCCGCGCGACCGCGTATCCGCGGGATCGCGGCCCCGAGCCCGCATCGCCATGGCGCGGATACGGATATGTTCGCCGCTTGCGAAGCGCACTCTGATCTGCAAGAGGTCGTGGCTTCGGGAACGCGACCGCAGCGTGATGTGGCAAGGACGGCGGCCTCGGGAGCGCCACCCGTCGTGGTGCACGGGCGCCTCCGGCTTCAGTGGCGCGAGCGCGACGCGTTCGTGCGGGAGGCTGCGGCCTCGGGGGTGCGAGCGCGCCGCAGCTCGCGATGGACGGTGGCCCCAGAAGCGCCTTGCGGAGGAACAGGTACTCTGGATTCCATAACAAAGTGGGGGGGGTCACAGTCGTGGGGGGGTCGAATTCGAGCTGTCTTGGAGTACCCATACCGTACCTATGCCGTCACCACACCGCCTCGTCCTCCGACCTCGGGGCACCCTGGGAGGCCCTCGACGCCACGGCCAGTGTCGCCTTGACATGGTGGTCCGGGTGCACCCAGGGACAGGTCGGCGGAGTCGCGGCATCGGCACCTTGTCGCCCCAGGGCTTGTGAATCGGAAGCGCGATTGCCACGTGCTTCGCACGTGCTGTGGTTTTGGGAATGCAGGCGTGGTGCACAGTCGCCCCGCAGAGTGAGGATGGGCAGCCTTCCCAAGGGTACCCCCTTGCATCCTTGCTTCCTGGGTCCATCCCTGGACACTCTCGTTGGCCGCGCCCCGCTCGAGACGCTTCGAAATGGGCGTCCAAGGGCCTTGCATCCTTATCGCGCATCCTTACTCTGCGGGTTGACTGTACCTTGGCATCGTTCGGACGTGTGCATTTTTCCTTCGGCGATGGCCATCGAGGAGCATCCTTGATCATTTGGCGAAAAAACCACGCACGAAACCGAAAAGAAACACAGGGAATGGACGTCCGAGCGATGGCCAGGTACTGTGCCATGGAGAGGATTCCTTCGGGTGCGCAGGGCGTGCTGTCGTCTCAGCGGGCTGGCGGCCTCGAGGGCGCGAGGGCCCCGGGGGCTCGGGAACGCGAACGCGTTCTAGTTCAGGACGGCAGTGGGTCGTTACCAAAGGCTCCCACGAGGGCGCGAAGTTCTTCGCGCTTCGCGGTCCTCGTTCCTTCTCCCCCTCCTCCTCGTCCTCGTTTTCCCCCCATAGGGGGGGCGGCGCGAGAGCGCGAAGTTATTCGCGCTTCGCGGAGCGCGAAGCGCGAAGTTGGGAGCCCTAGGTTACAAAGCCAGACTGACGTCGAATGATCGTGAAAGCGCTCCATCTATCCTTTTCTGCTGTTCCCTTTCCCCAATCGTGTTTGCACCGATTTCGTATGTTCCCCCGCTTTTCACTCGCAGTTGCCACGGATAGTTTTTAGATAACGGGTTGTTGCGTCGGGAGCGCGAGCGCGACGTCATTGACCAGACATTGCGGCATGGGTCGTGCAAGCGCGTCGTAGTTTGCCAGGGGCCGTGGTTGCAGAAGAGCGAAGGCGTTATGATTCACCAGGAAGGTTGTGGCTTCGGGAGTGCGAGCCTGATGCACTTTACAGGGAACTGTGGCATCAGGAGCGAGAATATGTCGTAGTTTTACGCGTTCCACTGCCTCCCAGAAGTCCTGAGTACGCCCATCTGGCTGGGTAATGGGGTGCTTCTCGGATTGGGGGTGTCACGCGTTCTTCAATGTTCGCCCACCTGAGAGCGGATCACCTCGAACTAGAACATTTTGGAAACCTTTGCACTGGTCGGTGCAGGGAGCAGGACACCTGACCCACGTTGCTTGTTGCCCCTAAGGGGCCTGCGGAGTTTGGCCGCCAGCGTACATGTTGCAGTTTATTTCCTACGATGTTTCCATTGGCTCCTTCAGCCTCATCTTGCGGTGCTCGCGTATTACTTACGCACTCTTTGTTTCTGTTGTCAATTATGTTGAAGGCGTTCTGCAATGGCTCTACCTTAACGGACTCCGTGGTGGCAGCCAGCCATGCCTTGAACAAGTTCAGCAGCATTCCTCGGAGACGATACTTGATCGCAAAACGTAGGAATCCACCGCAAAACAAGCAGTGCGTTTGAAAGGCTGAATTTCCGAAGTCCACCACACAAGCAAGAATGCGTCCGCAGCCCTTTATGGATCCGCGAGATTGCGGCGCGGCGCGCCCTGCGCGCGCGAGAGTTCCGCGCAATGATCGATTAGGATTGCTTCTCTCATCGCCTTGGCGGAAGGAATAGGCGGGTTGAACCTTGGGACTGCGGCCAGGGCCCAGCGAGAGCCCATATGGAGGTGCGCCACTCGAGGTGCGTCCTGCGCCGCTTCTGAGTGGAGCGATTGTTAGCCAGTGGGTGTCCTTGGGCTGAGGACGACGCGGATTCGATATGGATTCGACGCGAATTGGACATATCTATCTGGTTTCGACGCGGATTCGACTCGGGTAGTGGTGCTCTGAGACAGGCAGGGCCCCCCGAGGATACTTCATACGATGAAGGGCGCAGGGCGTAGGGGTCTCAGAGCCGTTTGGTTGCATGTTGTTCCTCGAACGTATTCCTCTGTTCTTCCTCGTCCTCCTCATCGTTCCCCCATTTCTCATCATTGCTGTCTCATTCAGATATTTCTAGCCTTTACCAGTCGTGTCCAATACAATTATGGTGGTGGTCATCCTCTCTCTGCTACTTGCATGTTCTCAACTCGCCCAACCCAGCCAGGAGCTGGAGACGGTCGACTGCGACCCAGAGCTGTTTGGCGAGCAGCCCGACGAGTGCTGCATATGCCAGGACGGCCCGAGCGGACACCAGACGAGAGCCGCAGGCGAGCATCGCAGATGGGGATCCCGGGCATGGATTTTGATCTGAGGGGGGGGGTCATCTCGGGGGCGGCAAAGAGTGGGGTCACGACTAGGGGGGGTGGATATACAGGTGTGGGCCATGATATGTCCCCAGATTTCATGGCGCCACTTCTCATTTCATTACGTGCCTGCCCCCCCCCCGGGCCGCGCACATGCCGCCGGCCATGATTTGCGCCCCCCCCCTCTTGGACGCCCCCCTCTTGGCCGCCGCCGAGTCATCTTGGGAGGGAGATTGGAGGGGGCAAGGAAATCGTAAGAGGTGGAAGCTATATGCAAGAAAGTCGTAAGAGGAGGAGGAGGAGGAGGAGGAGGAGGAGGAGGAGGAGGAAACTTTTCCGATACCGCTACCCTTCCGTCGTCGTCACGGCTGGATTTGCCACGAAATCTTGGTCCGAACGCGCCCCGGGAGAGGTCCAGGGGAGTAGCAGTATCGGCACTTTTGTTACCCGAACGCGCGTGATGGGGAGAGAAGGGTAGGGGGAGGGAGGGAGGAGCGGGAAGCGGGAAGAGGGGGAGGACGGAGGGGCGGGGGGGGCCCACCAGGCTGGCCGAGTCGTGCAGCCGACGGACGGGAGCACGGTCCAAATCAGGAGCCGCTCACCCGGACAACCTCGGGTGGGGCGGCAAGGCGCGAGAGCGTCAGAATGCAGCCTTTAGTCACCAGCCTCGAACTTCTCTCTATCCCTGAGATGGACACACCAGAAGGCGACGACAACCTTGGGGATGCACCCTCAGAAGCTGAGGGAACCCCCAAGATCGCCACCGTGATGCGGCGATGCCGAACATGAGGATCGGGATTTGTCCCAGGCTGGTAAATTAGGCAGCGAGGGGCCGAGGAGGGCGGAGGGGGCCGTGGGGGGAGAGGCTGCAGGGGGGAGGCGTGGCCTCCGAGGGGGCCCCCCGCCGCGCGCCCGCGAGCGCGTGGGCGCTCGCGCGAGTCGGCCCCTCCCGGGCGCGGCAACGGGCGGGAGGCTCCGTGGGGCCCCACGCGGGGCGCCGAGCCCGCGGCTGCATCGTCGGGCGTCGGCCTCCCAGCGCGCGGCAGCGGGCACGCGGCGTCCTCCTCTTCCGCCTCCTCCCCCCCGCCCCTCGCCCCCTCCTCTTCCTCCTCCTCCTCCACCTCCTCGTTCTCCTCCTCCCCCTCCTCCTTCTTCTCCCCCTCCTCCTCCTCCTCCTTCTCCTTCTCCTCCTCCTCCTCCTCCTCCTCCTCCTCCTCCTCCTCGTTCTCCTCCTCCCTCCTCCTCGTTTCCTTGCCCGAGGAGGAGGAGAAGGAGGAGGAGGAGGAGGAGGAGTCTCCCGAGCCCCTGGCGCTCCCAGAGAGTCCCTGGGGAGCTTTGGCCTCGCCCCAAGGGCCGCCCGGGGAGCCCGGCGCCTGCCGCGCGGCGCACGGCTGGCAGAGCCGGGCAGGCTTAACTTAAGTCGGGCGTGGCTTTCTACAGGAGGAATATTCAGGAATGGTTAAAAATTAGTTTGGGGACGTTTTTCTCTGGTATTTGTTTTATAGATGTGTTTGATGCTTCTTGCATGCTTTTAAATTTTTCCGTCCAGAATCCGCCTCTAGAGGGACACGCCCGACCGAAGGGAAGGGCTTGCGTCGGGGGCTGCTGGAGGTGCCCGTGGCCCGAGGTGCCCCCAGCTTGCCGCTGCATGCTCGCGCCCCTGGGGCCCCATCGGCCCTCGCGAGGGGCCGTGGCGCCAGCAGCGCAGAGCGGATCTCGCTCGGAAAACGACGGGCTGGGCCCGGAGGGTCCTGGAGAGTGTCGTTCCGGATTCCGGGGTGGATTCCGTGCGGAATTTTTGGTTGGGCTCGGACTGAAGACGAAACAATTCATCCGCGCGACATTCGCTTCGTGCTTCACGCGCCGCTTCGGGCGGAAAAGTCCAGGCAGAAGTCCGCGCAGGAGTCCGCTGCGGCACGGCTGCAGGGCCGGTGCAAGGACGATGGGGTGCTCTGTGGAGGCCGCGGCGGCCTCCTCGGAAATCTTGGGGTCATCTCGGCGGCGGCAAAGAGGGGGGTGCATCGCAGGCCTAGAGATTGACACCAACACCAATTTCGGCGATGTGCCTCCACCGAGAAATGAAGATCCCGATCTCGGTGATGGTGGTCATATTCTGGCCTCCAGGGTGGCCGAAATATTACCACCAACGCCGAAATCTGGGAGCATTGTTTGATCATTTCTTTGGTATTTGCCTAACAGCTTTTGCTGATAGGTTTCTAGTGGATTCAAAAGAAAACATCTTGACGCCCCAGGGGGGTCTGGGCGGGACTCGGACAGATCTGGACAAAAGGGTCAGCCCCAGGAATCTTTAGGAATCCATATGAAATTCTACGAATCCTTAGGAATCCATTCCCAGAACACCATTCCCAGGCCACATTTTGAATGCCCGGAGCCAACTGTAGGCCACTTCGTGTTCTTCGTGTTCCCAGAACACCATTCCCAGGCCACATTTGAATGCCCGGAGCCAACTATAAGCCACTTCGTGTTCTTCGTGTTCCCAGAACACAATTTCCAGGCCACATTTTGAACGCCCGGAGCCAACTGTAGGCCACTTCGTGTTCTTCGTGTTCCCAGAACACCATTCCCAGGCCACATTTTGAATGCCCGGAGCCAACTGTAGGCCACTTCGTGTTCTTCGTGATCCCAGAACACCATTCCCAGGCCACATTTTGAATGCCCGGAGCTAACTGTAGGCCACTTCGTGTTCTTCGTGTTCCCAGAACACAATTCCCAGGCCACATTTTGAATGCCCGGAGCCAACTGTAGGCCACTTCGTGTTCTTCGTGTTCCCAGAACACCATTCCCAGGCCACATTTGAATGCCCGGAGCCAACTGTAAGCCACTTCGTGTTCTTCGTGTTCCCCGAACACAATTCCCAGGCCACATGTTGAATGCCCAGAGCCAACTGCAGGCCACTCCGTGATCTTCGTGTTCCCAGAACACCATTCGTGTACAATATTTGCACTGTCCAGAGCCAACTTAGGCCACTTCGTGATCCTCGTGTTCCCAGAACGCCAGTCCTGTACAATAATATTTTGAATGCCCGAGCTGAGGCAGGCTGATGAGGCCGAGGCAGGCTGAGGCCGAGACAGGCTGAGGCTGAGGCTGAGGCACGCCGAGGCAGGCTGAGGCTGAGGCTGAGGCTGAGGCAGGCTGAGGCTGAGGCAGGCTGAGGCTGAGGCTGACGTAGGCTGAGGCCGAGAGGCTGAGGCTGAGAGGCTGAGGCTGAGGCTGAGGCAGAGGCAGGCTGAGAGGCTGAGGCTGAGGCAGGCTGAGGCTGAGGCTGAGGCTGAGGCTGAGGCTGAGGCAGGCTGAGGCTGAGGCTGAGGCAGCTGAGGCTGAGGCAGGCTGAGGCAGGCTGAGGCTGATGCAGGCTGAGGCTGAGGCAGGCTGAGGCTGAGGCCGAGGCTGAAGGCAGACTGAGGCTGAGGCTGAAGCAGGCTGAGGCTGAGGCTGAGGCTGAGGCTGAGGCTGAGGCTGAGGCAGGCTGAGGCTGAGGCTGAGGCAGGCTGAGGCTGAGCTGAGGCTGAGGCTGAGGCAGGCTGAGGCTGAGGCAGGCTGAGAGGCTGAGGGCTGAGGCTGAGGCTGAGGCTGAGGCTGAGGCCAGAGGCAGCTGAGCTCCCTGAGGATGAGGCTGAGGCTGAGCTGAGGCAGGCTGGCTGAGGCTGAGGCTGAGGCCGAGGCAGGCTCAGGCCGAGACAGGCTGAGGCTGAGACTGAGGCTGAGGCTGAGGCTGAGACTGAGGCTGAGGCTGAGGCTGAGGCCGAGGCAGGCCGAAGCTGAGACAAGGTGAGGCTGAATGGGGGGGGGAAGGGGGGGGGAGGGGAGGCTGAGGCTGACTGAGGCCGAGGCAGGCTGAGGCCGAGGCAGGCTGAGGCCGAGGCTGGCTGAGGCTGAGGCTGAGGCAAGCCGAGGCAGGCTGAGGCTGAGGCTGACGCAGGCTGAGGCCGAGGCAGGCTGAGGCTGAGGCTGAGGCTGTGGCTGAGGCTGAGGCCGAGGCAGGCTGAGGCTGTGGCTGAAACTGAGGCAGGCTGAGGCATCCGTAGGATTCCATAGGAATTCTTCGGAATCCCTAGGAATCCTTCGTAATCCGTAGGAACCCGTAGGCATAGTTCAGCATCCTCAGGAATCCTTAGGAATCCTTAGGATCTCCTAGGAAGCCTTAGGAATCCCCAGGAATCCTTAGGAATCAGGATTCCTAAGGTTTCCTAAGGATTCCTATGGATTCCTAAGGATGCCTCAGGATGCCTTAGGAATCCCTAGGAATCCTTAGGATTACATTGGATCCTAAGGCCGTTGCCACTGCGACTGTCATTGCGAATGCGACTGCGACTGCGAGAGCAGCAGAATTCTACAACTGGATTCTCACCTGAATCTTAAGGGGAATGCTCCCAGATATGCTTATACACATCGCTGTTAGGTTGCTTTGCCGGGATTTGTTTTATTTTTCGTCGAACATCCCCCTGTATGGGGGACACGCTCGACTTAAGACTAGGGGGGGTGGATATCATGGTGGGGGCCATGATACTTCCCCAGATCTCATGGCGCCTCTTCTTAGTTCATTACGTCCCTGGCCCCCCCGCTGGGCCGCGCACGTGCCGCCGGTCACGATTTGCACCCCTCCCTCTTGGACGCCCCCCTCTTGGCCGCTCCCGAGGGCACCTTGGGCCAGGGGCACCTCTGGCAGCACCCGGCTGCGGGCTGAGGAGGGGGCACTTGCCCAGCGCCTCACGAGGTGCGGTAGGTTCGTGCGGCGTTGGCGCGCTGGAGACGAGGGCGAAGGCGTTCAAGGTTGAATTTTGCGACGCGGCAGCACGGGACGCGGTAGGGCTTTTGGACCCGACGGAATTCAACCTTGAACGATCGGCGCCGCGATCGCTCAAGAGTGAACGATCGACGCGTGTCGAAACCCTTTACGCGCGCCGAAGCC